AGCAGTGTTTGATATCCACCAGACAAACTTGTTGTTTTTATCACTGTTTATGCTTGACTAGACAGACACTGGAGGAAGGTAGTGACATTATAAGAGTTCATATGTTTTAAATTTCACATCACTTTGTAGAATAACTCAGTCCCTTAAGTTCTATCTGTGACAATAGAAATGCCTTGTATATGTGATGAATTGTCTACAGATATAATAGAAGTAACAGGTAGTTGTAAATTATTGTTATATCTTGTATTTATGTGGATTGGTGTTTATTGTGGTTAGTTACTTTGAGGACAGACTGTAGTGTAGTTGATTAAAGTATTGAAATCTTTGCATAATGTCATTTGCTAGGTCATGTGAAACAATAGTGGTCATTGGTTTTGCTCTGCCTCTGTCAGTGAATGAAAGTCTTATTTGTCATCTTTATCATTATACCAGGCCACCTAGCTAATATTACCACAGTAATAGAACTAACATCAAACAGTTATTAACTAATGTCACTTCACCTACCAACTATTTTATATCCTAACATAAAACTATTATATTGACAAAAATGACATTTGTGCAAATATGGTAAGATGAGGGATTATTGGGTACTCTTCTTTCTAAAATTGATTCAGCTAATTGAAAAGAGTTATCTGAAATGTTGATACTAAATGACATTGGAAGTAAAATCTTGTAAAAAGTGATTAAAGATATGAGATTAGATATAGATCTGATATGATAACAGATTATCATTAAAATAACATCTATAGAAATAGAATCTTATTTTAAAGTTCACCCATTAACTCAAGTGGTTAAGGCCTGATTAAATCCTTTTAACCCCTTTTTTATGAAATCTCTTTCTCAATAACAAATACCACTAGGTAAGAGTAATATAACTTGACAGTGTAGGCTCAGAAATCATTAACTTACAAAAAATGACCATCATTGTTAAAGGTATATTCCTAAACTGTTGAAACTCTCATGGCAACAGGTGGAGTTTGATCCAAATCTGATTAAAATTTTTTAAAAAGCTAATTTTGAGACATTTAGGCTAGGTCAAAACAATAAACTGTAATATGTGAAGTCTGTTGCATTTGTAAAAAAAAATGTGAACAAATAGACAAAGCAGGAGGAAAATAATATCCACATAGAGATTTCTCTAAAAATACTGCAACCAAATGAAACTGTGTAGAAAGCTAGTGAAACGCATCATTATATTGCAGTGAAATAGTACATAGTAATAATCAATAATATTTGGTATTATATGAATTATTTCTAATGATATTGATATTGATAATTAATCGACTTATTTCAACAATGATTGTATTTAATCATAAAATGAATAGTTTTTCGATACAAATCTTTAAACTTTAGTAGTCAAGTGTAAGTAATACAAGAATCAATAAAATGGGTGTTAAAATTAAAAACGTCTCTAAATCCTGTATCTATCTATATCTTTCATGACTGATTAAAAATGGTAGGTGTTATTTAGTAATTTAGTGACATCTATAATGTACAATTAATCTCAAGACAGTTGAAACTCCAGAGTAAAAACTTATTTATATTTGGCTGATTGCCTGTAGGGAAAACTCACAATAATTGGGGCCATACAATAAAACAGTATCTGACTACTGGCTGCATCTCTATTACCAAGGCAACCATACAAGTTGCTATGGATACATCAAGCTTGGTGTGTATAGGGGCAACATCTGGTTATATTGATGTATCACATGGGTGTCTGTATTGAGCTGTTTCAGCCAACCAAAAGCTGAGTTGAGTCAATTTACCCAATTGCTATGATGCTCTATACACAACATTTATCCCAGAATGCCTATACTTTAATGGGTTTAATGTCACTGACGACAGTCGCCATCTTTCTATCACTTTTCTCTCTTCATCAGTTTGGTGACATTTTGTGATAAACTGTGTAAACAGTGAGATAATTTGAAGGATATAGTTAGGAATAGACAGATATATCTATGAAAGGTAAGGTGATCTTAAATTGTCACTTAATACTGAGATAACTTAATGTTTGTCACAGTTGGAGGTGGCTACTTTGGGACTTTTATAACTTTCTTTTAACTTTCTAGGCATTTGTTTGCTTAGTTATTTTAGTACTATTATTTACACAAAGTACCAACTTCACAAATATTTTCTTTTTTTAGAAAATGAAAAATTATAAAAATGTCACCAAAATGACTTTGTTCTGATGTAAACTTAACCACTGATGATGTGGCTTCAGACTGGTGTTTGTCAGCCATATTGTTTTGAAAACTTAATTCTTCAAAAATTTGTTGGATAAATTTTGAAAGTTTATAAAAGTTATATATCAAAATACATACTAAGTTGTGAAAGTAATATTAGGTATAAAGAGACATGTGTTTATTAGAGGGTATTTAAATAACCTAGTTTTGTGTTTACTACTATACCGGCCTGTCACATGATTTAAAGGGACATACATATTAATGAGGTTGACATACTTAGAGTTTATACCAATATTTCCTTATAGATTACTATACACTAGTCTGAAAATATAGTCTATAGTCTATGTAGTTTTATGTTGTCTTTATTAAACTGCACTAAAATCCTATTTTCAAAAATTGAGAAATTCTGCACCAGAATATAATAAGATTATTATCAGCATGTGTTAATTATACACTGCTTATGTTGATTATCATTATAAATTAGACCATTTGAATTTGCAAATAAATGTCAATATTAAGTTATTCATATCGTACAATACTGAATTTAGGATTAAATGCAATGAAATCTTCTTCAGTATGTTATTCAACTGTATACACAAGCAATTAAAAGTTAAATGTTAATTTAAAAAGTTTTAAAATGTCATTGAAAGTGAATAGTTAATTAAGTGTAATGAGATGTAATTAAAACTTGATAATGTATCACAGTGTAAAAAATGTTGGTAGTACAGACATAAAAAAATACCAGCAGTATTGCTAACAGTGGTTGAATGGTCGGATAGCAGGCAAGAGGCAAGACAGTGTATGTGGCAAGGTTTTGGGGAGTATCACATCAATGGGAATTTGAAAACCGTTACCACTTCAACTTTTAGATAAGCATATAAGTCGAATGTTTGATTCTGATAGCCGTCTGTCCAGTTTTCATTATGGACATGTTTTACTGATACATCTTATATTGTGAAATCTTTGCTTGTCAGGGTTTAATGGGATGGTTCAAAACATGTAGCAGCATTAAAAAAATCTTTGATAGTCATCTGTTACCTCATAGTTTAAAGTCAATAGGCAGTAATTTCAACCATAAGACAAGAAGCAGCATAGTTGTGTGAGAGTGGCTGATAGCCAGTTGTCCCCAAATGAACATGTTTAACTGATGTTGATTCTTGTCATCACTTGTAATGTAACAATTGTTGATTAGAGATAAGTATGAAGTGTTTAAGAAAACAGAATGGTTGTGTTTTTATCTGGTAAATGATAAGAGAGGGTGACCTTACATCTCTTACTATTATAGATATTACAATATACACACCCTCCCTCTCCTCTACTTAATCTCTATTCAAACAGTCTACAACCTACTTGAAATTTAGACTTTCCACCATCCATAGATTAGGGATGTATTTAGATGGTTATTCAACATATTAAGATATTTAGATAGGATACTGACATTGGTCAAGGAACAATTGGATTTCAGAGAGAATTGTATTTGAATGTCCTATACATTTCAATAGCTGATTCCTGTGCAAGTTTTGGATATTCAGATTCTTGTTTCTTGTTTTGAACAAGGTCATTATTAGGTTTTTCTGAAATGTGCAAATTGGATGTCATTGATATGTGAATAAGCCACTTATTATTACCAGCAGTTTGGACATGCCACACTTACTGAACTAGTAGGGGTTAGAATAATATAGGATTAGGATTAATAGAATTTGGATTAAGGAAAAGCTATTATTATATCACAGTAGGGTAGCAGGAAGACAGTGTTATCATAAGTTCATAACAAAATTACCTCACATAACCACATTGTGTGCTGAAGAGGAAATACTTATGTGACCTCATTGATATTAAACTTTTGATGTTTATTTTGGATAGTGTAACTTTTGGATGATACTGGTAAATGTATGAATATTGTACAGTTTTCATCAGTAATATTATGATGGATGAACTGAACAGAACTTTTTCAAATCAATTATTTTAGAATATCTTCATTTTTGCTCTGTTTTGATAAGTTTAAAGGTATTTTTTGTCAATGAAAAAGTTAGTTTATGTCAGGAATTTTGAATAATAAAACAATCTGGAGTTGAATAATGAAATATAAACAGTACAGTACATTATTGAGCTTCATTTATAGATTTCAAACTACCATGTTTTACAAGTAAACAGTCAAATTGTCCTTTCTCTACTTACAAAAGATGTGGTTTCCATGGTAATCTGGCGTAACATGTGGTAGTTTAAGCAGGTGAATAAAAAGACACCATCAATAAGTCTTATTTTCATTAAAACATTTTATAGAATGACAATATGAATAAGGCTTAAAACTGACCAACTGAATTTTTTTAATAGTGACCGTATGACATGTTTCATAGTAAATTTATTGAAGAAAAGTAAATTTGAGATTACAACCAGTATATATCTTCACATATAGGCAGTTATTTACAACACATATATTTTACTATTTAAATACTGTAACTAGGGAGATTTCCTTAAAATCCATATTTTGACATTTATGTTAATAATTCCATGTCATCTAAGAATTATAGAAACAATACTACATTAATATGGGTAATATGTTAATGTGAGCTGAAAGTTCTCAGAAAGAGGTGACATGCTGATTTAGCCTGTCAATTATTTTTCAGACATGGTTGGATCACTCAAATTTTCAATAATGCTTAACCTTTTATCATTTCAGGGGTGGATTACCCAGACCCAGAAGACATGGCGTCTATTCGAGACATCGATGAAAGTGATGCGTGTATGCGTCAGCGCCTTGTAAACAGTCTAAGTCAAAGTTTTCCTGGAAGTGCATTATCTAAAGCATTACAGTGTATGGACTCTGACGACGAGGAGTTAAAAGATCCATTAAGTTCCAGTTGTTTTGCAGAAATGAGGTTGGAAAAGGGTGAATTAGATGATGATGAACTGACCAGTTTGTCATGGTTACAGGAAACGGATTTACTAAAAAGTTTATCTGTTGATGAACAGGGTGAAGATGGACAAAAGGAAAACGAGGCATTTCCTAAAGTTGAGGGTGGACTATTACCTCAAACGCACCCACCACATATACCATACAACCCTCAAAAACATATAAATAGTAAACCTCCATATTCATTTAGTTGTCTTATATTCATGGCAGTAGAGGACTCTCCAATGAAACGACTTCCAGTGAAAGATATTTATAATTGGATTTTATCTCATTTCCCATACTTCCAAAATGCTCCAACAGGGTGGAAAAACTCAGTCCGACATAACCTATCATTAAATAAGTGCTTCAAAAAGGTTGATAAAGAAAAGGGTCAGGTAAGTGTATTTTTAGTTTATTTCTTTCTAAATCTCACTGGAGACAATTTGAAGGTACTGAACACAACCTGAAATTTTACAGCCTCAAATTGTTGTCAAAGCAAAAATCTGGATTGATATATTTACTGTAATAAGTGATAATGGTAGGAAATAGGTAAATTATCTAACAATATTAAGTAGTATAACTAATACAGTAAATAGGAAATAAATATAACAAGATAATTGTAGGTGGTGGTAATTATAATTATATGAACAGATCAATTGATTACGATACTGTTGATCAAATACTTGGAAACTTAGTTTCACTTTACCATAATATTATTCTACATTATGATTTAAAATCTGCCAATTTGAATAAAGTGGTATTATTCAATTCTGAGCTTAATTTTGGACAAGTTTTGATGATGAAGAAAATACTTGATTCTTCAAAACAAATGCATGATCACAGAAATAGCAGAATAGTGTCAAAATTTTAAAACAATTTGTCATATCAGTTTAATCTTTGACTTGTATATATGAGAAATTGTCAAAATATGTTGAAATTTACATGGATTATATTTTAAAACATTATGAAAAGTGAACTTGGTTGCACCACTGTAACCTGCTAAGGATAAGTGTTAAAATATATATTTTGGAAGTTTGATCTTGACACCCAAAACTTAAAAGGTAGGTTTTACTAATAATTATTATAATAATAAAGAAACTTATGAGGTGCCATTTGATTATAGTTCCTGTTTACAGCTTATTATTATCTCCTTTAATTACATAATTAAACTACTTGTTATTAGATATTAATTATATTGTGTAATATCAAATAGCCTCCAGTGACCTTGTCATCATTAATAGCTCCACTGGAAGTTAACTGATTTATGAGTAGTTTAAAGGTGTTGCAGGATATATAGGTGGAAATGTAACTAACTTTTGTGGTGCTTTTAATTGTTTTTCAGCTCAACTGATCTGTCCAAAGTAATGCTTGAACTTCAGGGTGTAAATAGTGATCCGTTTCACAACCAATTAATAAATTTATCCTTCCATGGCTAATTAGAAGCATATTAATGGATATACTTCTATAATATTATTTTAATTTAGAAATTTGGAAAATTAAAAGATAAGCTTAACCAAAACTAAACCAAATTCAATATTAAGATGTTTTGCAACAAACTAAACCAAAGTTTGAATGATGTTGGGTCAGGTATTATACAAATCTAGCCACAGGGCAAATTATGTAGGTGACAATACAGAGCCCATACAGTGTTACTTTTAAAATGGCAGATGTATTAAAATCCAAGCTTGACTAGTTACCATAGAAACGAGGTCAGTAGTTGTAAAGGAAATAAATCATGTGACCTTAAAGTGGTGACTGTTGACAATTATCATTTAGTATATATATATGAAGTATAAAGGGAACATAGGTTTAAAATATTAAACATTGTAACATAATAAAAAATCAACTGAATGAAATGAAAAACACATATATAATTATATATTATAATGATTAAATGTCTTTGTTTGTGTTCTTAACTATTCACTAAGCGTTCAACACAATTTCAGTTGTTATAAAAAAAATTACTAAAGTACTATTGTAATTGATATCATTTCATGCAGGAATAAAACTAAAAGTCTCCAGCGTACTGTCCACCTTTGCCAACATAACATTTTATGAAATCTGGCTAAAAATAAGAAATCTGTGTCATTTCAGATCTCCTGAGTTCTGATATTGTATATTTCAGACAATTGGTAAAGGTTCATTATGGTGTATAGATCCAGATTATAGACCCAATTTACTACAAGCATTACGTAAAACACCCTATCACCCTTATCATCAATTACAGATGATGTCAGCTCCCACTACTGTGTCATTTACAGGGCTTCCAGGTTATGGGTAGGTATTTTATTATATTAGCTGAAAATATCTGATTAAAGGATGCACCATTTTTTTTAAGGGGGGGCGGGGGGGGGGGAGTTTATTTTAGTCTTGAAGTAATAGAAGAAAATTGCATAATTCCTTTAAAAATACTTCAAACTAGGAATTTTACTCACTATTTCTATATGTGTCTTTCCATTATATCAAAGAGTATTTTAAAATGATACAGATAATTTTGGTCATACGTGGATTTGAAGGCTCATATTTCAATGTAGAGCTGTGAACGCTACTGCTGATTAGCTTACCTAAAAAATACCCATTTCTGAGAACGGTTCGTTCAAATTGGTGCCCACTTGCTCCTTAAAAAAGAGAATTAATCTGTTTACAGTGAATAAAAACAGTTATGAAAAAATTCTGCTCTTGAGATTTGTTATTGTAACCTACTGTAGAAACCTTGAGGCTACTTCCTGCTTGAATAATAATATCATTACGTAATATTACTAACTGGTTTTTCCCTTGTTAATTATCTAGATCAATTAAACCACTTTAGAACTGTGAGGAGACTAGCTAAGGACAATAACATCATCTTAAAATAGCCATATTACTGAACTCTCTCATCGGTGTCTTATAACTTTGTAGTCATATTAAATTTCTGTGGTAAAGGAAATAATGTTTGGTTTATTGACTGGTGAATTCATAAGAAATATTATGAATTGTCTGTCAAACAGAGATTTTGTAGGAAGTAAAGAGGAAAATCGACAAGCTTTAACCAAAATCTCACAAGATTGTTACCATGACAACACAAACATTAGAGAAGAGAGTAATGGCAGATGCTAACTTGCCCTGTGTTTAAGAAAGACTGTTTATAAGTTTATTGACCCCAATATTTGCCTGCCAGCCTCTTATTCTTTGCTTCACATTGTTTGTCTGAACACAGTGGTTTAGTTTGACAAATTCTTTGTCAAACAGTTGGTTAGAGAGAATCTTTTAATATAACTTTTTCCTTTATTAATCCTTGGTGTTAAAGGCTTATATCTAGCTAAACAAAATCTGCATATTTATATGGATATTAAAAAGAAATGAATTGCTGTCTTACTAAATTAAGTCCAAAAATATTAATGATATTCTTAAATCAAATGTGCTCGAGTCCAAAACATTAAGGAATCTTGAAATTAAAAGATACAGCTGAATATGTTGAATCTGAAAATGATAAAACAGATTGATTTTAGCATAAACTTACTAATTCAATAACTCTGTAATAAATAATAATTAAGTATGTGATAAGTGATATTATTATCTTGTAAGGACGTGCGAGAATTGTCTTTAGTTAAAAATTTATAACTCAAGATCGATCGTCTGAGACATGATTCTTTTATACGTCCTCATTACACCTGTGTATAACTAAACGTTCCCATTATACCTGTATGAATTATTTATTGTTCTCATCAGGCACGCTATTGTTAAATGTTATTGAATTAAGTGGAATAAAAGAAAGTTTTAAGATGTATGAATTATTGATTGTCTGTGATAAAGAGATTGAGTGCTTAAAGTTAATGACTCAGTGTGGATTCAATAACCTATAAAATTTCATGATTGCTGAAGGCTCTGAAATAAAGTTATTTCCAGGGGTTTGTGCTATTGTAAGACTTACAATTTTGAAATTTTAATTTTATCTAAGGTGTAATAGAATTGTAAAAAGGAACACATATCGGTAAAAGCCTGTTCCCTAACTCATTATGAATAAATATTGTTATAATTCTAATTTAATTCAAAACAATGATTAATGAATTTGTTGTTATTTCAGTATTAACAGACCATTACCATTAACAACGAGACCAGCACCAAACACTATTTCACCTCGTAAGTATTCTACTGATTTATTCAATAATTCATTTATTGTTAAAATCATCTCTAGGAACAGTATTTTCTTTCCTTAGTTGGTAGTCAAAATTCTCTTTTCAATGTTAATTCACCGATTGCCGAAATAGAAATAGCCATGATTTAAGATGGTTTATATTTTTCTCTTACCACTTGATCTTTGAAGATAGATCTATTCCTAGCTTTATCATATTTAATCTACTTTCTATTTTCAGATTTGTTTCCATTTTTGAGTAAAAGACTGGGATTAGCTGGCTCTAATGCAGGTATTGGTAAGTTAATTGTTTTACTAATAACTTCTTTACTTTACTTTACTATTGCAGTAAAACAAGTTTCAATGAAAGTTAACTGTGTGACATGCAACTGCTTTTAAGATAATAGTTTCCTAGTGTTACTGAGAAAATTAGTTACATTAGTAACAGATTTTAAATAACTTTTCAGTAAAATCAAGGAGATTTACTAAAAAAAAAAAAAAAGTTAAGGTAGTTATCAGAATACTTTTATTCCCTATGAATGTTAAACCAGCTGATGCAACATAAATCCCTCTTTTAAGAAAGATGTCACTATGCCCCTCCTGATAGATTTTGATTGATAAATTGACTTCAAAGTATTTATAAATAGAATATTTATGAGATATTGACTTTATATTTCAATTTATTATATTAATACATGTAGATTCTTCTATTGATTCAAACTGTGTAGTATCAATAATAAGGTAAAAGCTATCATTATAACATCAATAAGAGATGTAATGAGTAGAGAGAAATTGATAAAAAACACGATAATTTTACTTTTAACACTTAACTACATACACCAGACACAAACTAAACTGTTTACATCTGTTGCCATGGTATTGTTGACATTAGTTACCATGATCATTTCCTTACCAGACAGTTCAATGTAATTTTATATCTTTTATAACCAGAGAATCACCATCCAATTTTCATCGATCATTAACAATGAATTCCATCTATTTTAATTATGAAGCTTGAAAATGTCCTGATGACAGGTACAATAAGATTGTATCTGAGCAAGTCTTGTTATTCGGTTGCAGTTTTAGACTATAGGGCCATTTAAACGAGTAAAATCTCTGGGTCCACCAAGTGTCGGCCCAGGAACAGTTGTTCAATGCTACCTGGGTTCAGCAGTTTATGCCGACAGATGGCTACTACCACGTCATAAGCTGTAATAATGGCGACCTAGCAGACTGTCCTCGTGTAAACATGAACAGAGTTGACACTGGAATTTTGAACTCGTGTAAACAGGACTTTAATTAATCTACTGAATCTGAATTTTTTTTAAGGTGACAGCAAAACAGTTGATACTAACAATAAGTAATATACTTGATCTATAATATTCACTACCTCTTATAATGAACATTAAATTTAAAGTTTAAAACTTGGTCATTAAGAATATATTTATCAGTTGGACTTACCAGGTGCCTTGACTAAAGAATAGAATCTCTATATTACACGATATATCGGTTTATTGGATTACAGAGTGATTCTGTTGTATAGTTTTGACACCAGGTAAGTCCACTAATGAACTCATCCTAAGACGTGGTATTCCTTTAAGAAAAAAAGTAGAAAATGGAATCAGGCTGATAATGTATGTTATAATCATAGAGTTAGTTAATATTTAGTTACACCCACCTGACATTTACCTCCTATCATTATTCTATCTTATAACTGATAAATCATGATGCACCATATTCATTTATTATCAATATAACAAATTATGATGATTATACTTGAATTATTAAAATAATGTAGTACCCTATACTGTACTGTCTAACTTCTTAGAATTCCAATTTAAATTTGTCCAACTATTTTGATTGAAATATATTTGATAATGTCTTTTTCTTTGGTTCTTTTCTGAAATTATGAAAATATGATAAAGAAAATGCACAAATACAGGATTGAAATATAAATTGAAAACTGTTTCTTGAAGATATCCTGCACCTATTCAATTCTATTGGTTATGAAAGCATTACTGAAGATAAAATGTACTGAAGAATGTGAGAAAAATATTAAAAGTATGGAAAACTCATCAGTAAAAGTTGTTATATAAAAAGTTGAATATCTAAATATTATTTGATTCTCTTTACAGATAGAGAGATACAAGATGTAGCACAAACTTTAGTTTCTATGAAAGGTCTTAGTAGTAAAAGTAAGTCGTATTATTACTATGTATATTATGTATAATGCATTAAAGAGTTATCAGGTGTACCTAACAATCTGTTATTAAATTATTATGCAATGTGAAGCATGACTCTTACCATTGACCTACTTAACATCAATTTGCTTGAAACAACTGATTATATCATGTACCAGTATATATGTAATGTCAAAGTCTAGAAATATTAGAATAGAACTTGTATCATGAAATTACTCAGAGTTTCATGATATGGAATCTTCAGCCTCTTTTCAGCTTGCGTCCCTACTGATGTTGGACTTACATTCGCTTTCTTAAATGACCATTGTGCTGCTATAGAAGTATCTTGTAAAACACCAATTATGAGTTTTAGATTTGAATATGTTTTATTATAATTTGTAGATTCATCTGGTCATTCATCTGATGGTTCTGATTATTCTTCCCCACCTTCACCAACAGATGCTACTCATCGTCTAAAACAACATTGCAGGTATGTCTATATAATTCTTTTCTCAGATTACAGCATTTCATGCTGTTAAGTTATTAGACTCAACATTGTTTTGGTACAGCCTTTATTGCATATATTTGTGAACATCGTTTAAATAATCATTGTACGTGACCTGAAATTGATATGTTATGCTGTTTTCTGTAGCAGTTTTTAGTTCTGAAGTTTTTATTCCAATATTGATCACTGACCATAGCAGTGATATTTATGTGAAGTCAGAGTGAGGAAATGAAAGCTAGACCAGGTGTTACTATGTTGATGCCTTAAATCAATAAATATCAATATTAAAATATAGATAATTGAATTCTGTCAGAGTTATTCACTATTAGAAATGATGATGATATCCTGCAATTATTTATTAGATCCCAAGCTCAGTTATTGAGGTGCAGGTCTGTAGCTTTACAGGTCAAACATAAACTTTTGAAACACATGCTTTGATTTTTGGATTAATATTTATATCTTTATCATTTATATTTCAACATTAT